CACGGCTAGCATGTGGCAGGGCCACGATTTCAGACCCAAGTTTATCCAAACCCTAATTCACATTACTTCGCTAAGCTGAAACAGAGGTAGTGATTTTGCAGATCTGTCTTTTTCCGCCCTCTTTTGAAGCCACTTGTATTTTCTCGTCATGGTTTGAGCTTCTGTTGTTCCGCGGTTTTGTATTGTAAATTTTGATGTCGCTTCAGAGTTAACCAGAAACAAGTAAGTGATTTCGCAGATCCTCCGTCGGACTTGCAGGGGTCCGTGCTTGGAAAGCCTGACTCATGAGCCTTTGGGAACGCACCTTGGGTGCAGGTTATCTGTGCCTGTGAGGTGGGTGTGTCTCTTTTGAGAAAGTCTCCCCGTGAGAAAACAAACAGCCTGGCACTGTCGGCCCCACCCAGGAAGCGAGGTTGACCCAAATGGTGCTGCTCTTTGGGCACCCTGGCTGAAATGCCAGGGACGAGCATCCAGTTAGACTTTTGCCTGACAGGACTCTCTCCCTGTGGCCTCAGACAAAGATATGCCTTGTAACCTGCCCAGCAGACGCTCTGGGGTGTGGCACCAGCCCCTCCCCGGCCGGCTGCCAAGAGCAATAGCCATGCATTATTCACAGGTGGCTGCCCCTGCCCTGCCCTGCCCTGCAGTGAGAGTCCCTCTTATAGCCTACCCTGCCACTCCCGCCACGCCACTGCTTAACCCTGTCTTTGCCTTTTGCCCCCCCCCTCACCTCTTTGCCCCACCTGGGCTGCATCTTCTCCTCCCGTCCCCTTGTGCAGGGTGCTGGACGGGCGCCTATTTGGAAGGATTCTTCCCCAGGTTGGCAGACAAGAGTCTCTCAAAGGCTTAAACAATCTGGTTTTTTTTTTTTTTTTTTCCAAGGTAAGGGTCCTCCGGTTTGGACCCTCCCCGAAATCGGCGCCATTTCCCAGCCCACCCCACCCCACCCCATCTGTGCAGTGGAAGCAGCTGAGTTTGTTGGACACATTCACCCTGGACTCCCCAGAGATAAGCGTGCTCCTTGAGGTGGAGATTGCTGCTGCTCATTGAGTCCCCGTGTCTCCCACCGCACCCCGCAAGCACAAGCATGTGTGATTGGTACATGAGTAGACACCCCCTCCCCCCATTTTTTTTTTAAAACCCAGCTCTGACATGCTCTGGGCTGCCGCTCCTTTCCCACGATGGATTGTCCGTCCATCCTTCCGGTTGATCTTTGAATAACGAAGTGCTATGCCCAGAAGGGGTCTTGTAGGTCCTGGGCTCCAACTCTCTGAGTGCTTTCTAGTCTTTCCTTGGTTTAACCTCTGAGAAGCAAAGATAACGGCTCCTCTGTGGTCATGTGTGGGTTATCCTGGGTCATGGCTCCTTTGATCTGCCTCAGTGCCCGTGGGCCCAGCTCTCGGCCCTGTCTTCACGCTGCCTTTGGGAACTGACTGACTTGACTCAACCCTTCGGTCTGCCCCTTCACCTCTTTTCCTTAGGAGTCTCACCCAGGTGAAGCCCCCGGGATACACATGCTGTGCTTTAGTTAGCGATCTGGGGGCCTTTAGTTAGCTTCCTTGATCCCGTCTGTGGAGCCATGTCCCTCCCTTGGTCTTACGAGAGAGAACAGCATCAGATCATATCTTTGCTGTTAGGTCACCAGCTCTCCAGATAGGACCTTCTGCAGACTCCTCGTCTAGCAGGAAATGAGCGAAGAGACCCAGAAGGGCGGGCAAGCCCCGAGGCCCTGTGGTGGCCGGGGAGCAGAGCCCGGATCTTGCCGGCACACTGGTCTTCTGTGTCACTCCACACGGTTAACCTGGTGCTGGTTTGCAGCGCCGGATCAAAGCCTTGTGCTTGCTACCACTCGGCTCTTTCCCTAGTTCTTGTCTGTCTTTTAAAGACAGGGTCTTGCTACGTAGCCTAGGCTAGCCGCTTCCTGAGTGCTGGGATGACCGGCATGTGCCGCCGCCGCCGCCACACCATACCTTTTTGGAATGGTATCCCCTCTGAACCTGTATGGTCTCCGCCTGTGGATTCAACCAATCAGTTGTAACCTCTACTGAATGCACACAGGCTTCTTTTCGCCCCTCCCTCACTAGCATTGCTTTGACAATTCAGTGACAGCTGTTTCTGGAACACTGACATTGTATCAGGCGTGGCCGGTAACGGGGATGATTTAAACTGTGTGGGAAGAGGTGCCTAAGTTATTTGCAAATCCTGGGCCGTTTCTTTCATAAGGGACGGAAGCAGTTCGGTATCTATGGAGGAGGCAATGCCCTTTACCCTGTCTTCCGATGAACGATTGTATGTGCTTTGAAGAGCCCCTGGGCAGTTAAAACTTAAAATTGAATGTGTAGACAAGGCTACCTCATTTCCCTGGTCAGCTGTGCCCGTTGGGTGATTAGTTGTCAGCTGGAAAGAACAGAAAGAGGAGAAATGGGCTGGGTTTTTTTTTTGGTTTTTTTGTTTGTTTGTTTGTTTGTTTGTTTGTTTTGTTTTTGAGACAGGGTTTCACTGGGTAGACCAGGCTGGCCTCGAACTCGCAGATATCTGCCTGCCTCTGCCTCCCAGGTGCTAGGTTTAAAGGTGTGTGCCAACATGCCTGGCTTGGTCTACACATTTTACACTTACTTAGAATCTTCTTATGAAAAGTCTTAACCCACAGTAACAATAAATATAAGACTGGTGGGGGCGGGGGTGGGATGGGGGGGCTCCATCGATACTGGCAGTGTTCCCAAGGGGCTTCAGGCTTGCCCATGGAGCCAAGGAGATGAGCGTGTTATCTGTGCTGGTATTTCTTCGGTATTGTCTGTGTTCGAGTCCCGGAGACTGTGTCCCAGGCCAGTGTAGACACTGGAAATGCTGACAGTGGATGTCCATCACACTCATTAGGGCCTAAGAGCCTTTTTATATTCCGGGTGGCATTCCGCCCGGGGGTTCTGGAGTGGCCATTCCTGGTGGACTGATGCCGTCACCACACGGCAGTCGCTCAGGGGAACAGCTGTCTGCCTGGAAACTATCCAGTGTGAGCATGGTGAGCCCTGGCCAGCTGGAAGAGGCCTGTCTTCATACTTTCTGTTCAGAGCTTGAACCATCCGAATTTAATTTCTCCTGAAGACGTCTCATCTCTACATCTCTTCCAATCTGCTCCTTGAGTTTGAGCCTGACTGTACACGTGTTCTTTACATTTTCAAACATTTGTCTACACCAGAGCCTTGGAGACCTAACCAGTGTAGTGGAAATGACAGCTCGGACCTGAATTGAGATAGCGCTGGCTCCGGTACCTAGTGGAAGGGCCGATTGACTCTGCAAAGCTCTCCTGTTTCTTCCTATCTCACAGAGAGACTAGCTAGCTCATTTGGGGGAGGATTAAACGAAAGCACCCACGCGGAGGCGCACTCGGAGACGCGGGCTGCCGGGCGGGCGGTTGGGCTGGTGAGAGTCGCTGGGCTCTGAGGCCAGGCCTCCACCCAGCAGGTTAGTTCGCTTCCTAGAACTCAGTCTTACATGGACACTGGAGTCACTGTGCCAGCTTGGCTGGGAGGCTAGGAGAGTTGCATGTTGTCCAGCCAGGTGCCTGGTGCACTTGGCTCGCCAGATGTTACAGTTAGGCCTTGGGATTACACACAGCTGCACCTCTGTTGTCTTAGGGTTTCCACTGCTGGGGTAAGACTCCGGGGCCAAAAGCAGCTCGGGGAGGAGAGGGTTAACTTCTTGGAGTTTGTAGTCTGCCCTCCTGGGATGTCAGGGTGCAGGGACTCAAAGGCAAGGAGCTTGAAGGTAGGAACTTGACCATGGCACCCAAGACCACCAGTCCATGGGCGGCACTGCCCACGGTGAGCCGGGCCCGTCCACATCCATCATCCAATCAAGAAAACGCACCCCGGGCTTGCCCGATGTAGTAGGGGCGTTTTCTTAACTGAAGCTCCCTCTTCCCAAATGACTCTACCTCGTGTCAAGTTGACATAAAACTAGGTAGGACAGGAGGTCTTCAGGCGATCAGTTCTTAGTGAATTCCAGAGGATCAGGAGAGAATTGAACTGGTCAGTATGTCCCCTTTCGGGTTACAGGAGAGAGAAGGTGTGGGGAGAAGACGTAGGCAGGGTGGCGAGAGGGAGGGGTCTGGTCACTTGCATCTTGGCACAGGGACTGTTTGGAAGGTAGGTTACCCTCTGGTGGCTGTGCATGGTTTGACAGGTCGGTGGCCAGCGCTGCTGGGGAATTGGCACTTACTTCCTGCTGTACTTGCTGCTGATAGGAACTGCAAAGCTGTGGAGACCGTAACATGGATGAAATCTGCTTGGGAGAAGCTCTGCGTGTGAATCGTTAACTATTCTTTGAAGCTGGGCACAGTGGCTCACAGCTTTAGTCCCAGCACCCAGGGGCAGAGGCAGGTCTGGGTTGCTTCCAGGCCAGCCAGGGTTACATAATGAGACCCTGTCTCAAAGATAAACATGCTCCTGGCGGTGGTGGCACTCTGGAGGCAGAGGCAGGTGGATCTCTGTAAGTTCGAGTGCAGCCTGGTCTACAAAGCAAGTTCTAAGACAGCCAGGGATACACAGAGAAACCCTGTCTCAACAAACAAACAAACAAAACAAACAAACAGTTGTTTGAAGTGGAAATGTCTAGTATCTGGTACTGTGCGGAATGATATTTCTGCAGAAGGAAAATTTAGCAAAGACATATTTGCAGAATGATATTCAATGAAATACCGTTTTTAATTGCTGATGGATTGATTTCATTTCATTACCCTAGGAACACCAGTGTGGGAAATGAGAGGTGGGTGAGCCTGGTGTCTTTGAAAGTAAAACAGAGCAGTGCACATGTCTCAAGGAGACATGTGCCTGGCTGCTCTTTTGTGGAATGTAGGAGAATCCTGGTTTATCTGCATCCATATATCCCGCTATTGCTTCTACCGTGACGACGAGCTGTGTGCTGGCTTTGGTCTCTACATCTTCCCCCCCCCCCCCCCCCCCGTGGCTCTTCATGCTTGACACGATCTGTTTTTCTTCTAGGATGTGGAGAAAGAGAAGGACACTTATAATTACCTCAGCAAAGAGGAAATCAAAGAGAAGGTCCATAAGTACAATTTAGCTGTCACAGACCAGCTGAAGATGACCTTGGTAAGTACTTCCTGGTTCAGCTGGCTCTTGCCGGAAGACAAGTAGAGTCAGGGAGATGGCTCGGGAGGTACAGGCTGGCAGTTTTGATTCCCAAGACCCAAGGGAAGGCCAGATGTTGTGGTGCACATCTGTAACACCAACACGCTACAGAGAAGTGGAGCGTAGGGCCCGGTAGTCTGGGATACCCCAGAGCGGTAGCACCAACAACAGACCGAGAGACCCCACCATGACCCAGTGGGGGAGTCCTCTGACCTCCCCAACAAGCCGTGGCCCACCTGGGCCCATGTACAGCCACACACCGGAAAATAACAAGGAATCTAAGATTTATCTGTTTTAATCTCGTAACAGTCATGGGCAAGATAGGTAGAACAGGAAAATAGGGTATTTTTGCAATTTTCAAAATTTAATCTCTTTGTGTTCGAGGTTGAAAATCGATGTTTATGGGAACACCCCACCACCAACACCGCAAAAAAATAAAATAAAAACAAAATTAAAGTGAAATTTAGGTGGTGAGGTGGCTCAGAGAGGAAAAGCCACTTGCTGCCCAAGCCTGATGATGATCCTTGGACCGCGTATGAGGGTTAAAAAAGAACTCCACAGAGTTGCCTGTTTTAATAGATTTGTGGTTCCGCCCTGCCAGGGGATTTTGGGCGTTCCTAATCTTCCTGAAGTAGCCCCGACTCTAATGAGACTTCCTTTGCTTTCTACCCGGTCGGTCGGTGTAGAACAGACATGGATGGAAGCAGCTGGAGGATTGTGTGCCCGTGGATCGGAATGTAGTCTAGCCCAGCGCTTTCTCCCCTGGCTGTCCACAGCACACGGGGCACGCAGCGTTCAGCTTCCTTCGGGATGGTGTCACGGGGTTCTACAACACTGTCCCACACCGTGGGGAGGTCGGAGGGCCAGGCTTCAGTGACAGTGACCGGCAAAGCTCCTGTCTCCGTGACGGCTTCCTGTGGTCTCCAGACTGGATCAAGCTTCACCCACCCATGTAGAGACACACACACAGACACAGACACACACACACACACACACACACACACACACACACACACACACACCACGACATCTGCTGTCCACTGGTGTCA